TCATATGAGCGCCAAGGGGTGAATGTCAACAGAGAAGTCTTTACAGGGAATCAGACTTATTATGCTCACTTCTCTAGCTTCAACAGCACAAAGTCTGCTTCGACTGTCAAGGAACCCCGGAAATAGCAGGTCACAAGAGAGTGACAAACATACAAAAGAAGTAGAGGGAAATGACAATAGTAAGGATTAGGAAAGAAAAAGCAGCAGTTCCCTGTTGTAAATCAGGGACAGTTTTGAGCGTGACATGAATCAGCCAATTTACAATTCTACTGTGCTTGAACGAGAAATGTCCCCCCTCTGGGAATGGCCTAAAGACACTACAGTCAGTGGCACTACCCCAGGGGAGGGGGCTGCATTTTATTCATAGGCTACAGACGGTATGGAAGTAGGAGGGGCTGACTTCTCAATACAGTCATTCTTGTGACCTAAAGCAAAAGCAACACCAAAAACTAACAACAGTCTTCGCCGGCGACAGGAGACCAGCATGTTAGATGGACAAAACAGTGCTGTCCCGGCGGTTTTATGCAAAAATAATTCTAAGATGATACAAATTCAGCCAAAAAGTGTGAAATTATGCTATTCTGTTAATTTTAACAAAGAATGATCAAGGGGAAAAAATCAGAAATTATGAGAGAAAAAAAAAGATCAAATTTCGCTAAATTATGCGGGGTGCTTAATACCACGGGGGACAGACAGTGTCAGAAAACCCATGCTAACAATCTATCCTTTGAATCGCATTTATGGACGTCAAATGACATAATATGTCTGGCTTACGAGTGATGTCTTTCCTTCCTTGTGTTTTGTTCACATCTTTATTCTTTAAAACATGTTTGTTTCTGTTCCAGCTCCGTTTTACGTCTATTTATGGAACAGGTTAGGTTAGGAACTAACCTTTTTCGGAGCCTACTTTACGAAAAAAACAACCACATAATCTTTTTTCCAGTGGGCACAAATATAGTACTAGACAAGTCTAGTAGCTTCCAGTTTGTTTGTTTTGGGGGGGGTAAGAGCTAGAGTTCCTTATATTTGTTGGGTTTTTTAACTGTTCATTTTCTGTTCTACGAAGATGGTTGGATGGTGCCATTTGTTGATCCTACTTCTGTGCCTTCTCTCTGTTGTTTTCTGTTCTTTTTTATCTTGCTTTCGTCCCCATACTGTAGATGGCACTTATTGCGTGATACGCTTCTTCCATGTTCAGAACTAACAAACTATTCTTTTTATTTTTCTGATCTTGGTTTCGCTTTCTTTTTAGTGAAAATAAAAAAATTAACGTAGTTTTATTAAAGTAGGATAGGAGAGAGAGAGAGAGGGAGGGAGGGAGAGAGAGACAGAGAGACAGAGAGAGGGAAGGAGAGAGATGGGGTAGTCATGAGGGGGAGCGGTGATGAAATCAATTAGTTTCCGATATGACTGGGCTGTTAATGGAATCAAACCTGCCTCGCCCACTGTGATTATCAATTTGATTAATAGTTTGAATCTCAAACTTTTGTTTAAAAAAACGTTCATAACTCTCTGGCAGCCAGAGACACTCTGAGAAATGTCTAGCCCTTCTGTTTGCGTGCGAACTGTACATTCCAAATTTGATGACGAAGGTGTGTGCTCTATGTAACACGTAACAAAGCTTTATGCTCTGTAGTTGCCTTATTACATTTTCGTTATCTTAAAAAAGCAATAACCGGGTGAACTGTACTAATTTACTATTCCAATCCAGACAACTCCTTTTGGGCCTGTACCCACATTTTCATAATCATATCTTGATGACATAGAGTGCAAAGGGTTTTTTTCGCTAAATTGTCAGTCCAATTTTGAAGGCGTACAATCCTGACTATACAGCGAAATGTCGTTGTGAGAGGTTCATTTCCTGACTCTGTAAAACAGGCTTCATAACAAAGCGATCGATAGAAAGTATGAGCTGAGTGACGCCAGTTAATAGGACACCGGGACCACTGTTTTGCTTTCCGGCCGTGGAGAAGACCTAAGAGAGTGCGCTCAGGGAACCCGAGTCATAATAAGGAGCTCGATGTTCCCGAGATAATGTGCGGCTCGGGAAATTGGAGATGGACTGAGTGTAAATTCGGGAAGTCCCGACACGAGTTGCAAAACATTATGATGAAACAAGTTTGGTAAAAGTGAGACGATCGTGAGAAGAATTAAGGAAAAGTTTGGGCAGTGAAACAACATCCTTCTTTTGGTCGTCGAGCGCCATTAAAATGATGAAAGGCTGAGGGCGATAATAATAGTCCTGAGAACGACGAAATAAGCCGTAATTGTTAGTTGTCTTAGTAAACAACTTTCAATGTTGTAAAAAACTTCCGCCTTAAGAAAAACACGTAGTTCGTTTGTCCAGAGGAAAAATTCTTAGAATCGAGTCAACAACAGCGTTATTTTGAGCGATGAGTACACTTTTTAAGCCTTTGGTAACCATTTCACGCTTTGCAACGTAAACCACCGATAGAGGTTGTTATTTTGTTGGGAGATGGGTTTTTTCCGTTAGTGAAATGAGAGTGACTAGGGTATTTGGTCTTTGCAAAATACACCCAAAAAAATAATAAAGCCACGACAAAAGCTGTCAAAATATTCCGTCTGTTAACGTTCTCAGACTGTAACCGCAAACGCTATTATTTGAAATGTGCTCTGTGTTGCAAAAGGGGCGTGCGGGAGGGTGGTAACTACTTCATATCAAGGTGAAAATGACATCAAGGAATCTAAGGTTTTTGGTACTGTCCTGGTAGAAAGAAAGGTCAAGACTATTCTCTGCAAATTATAATGTAATAACATATAATATAATTATACCATTTGAACGGCATAAATTATCGCTTAACAGCAAGCTAAATGCACTAAACAACCTATGTTATTATCTCAGCAGACCTGACATTTTGAACTAATCTTAAAGCATACATTGCTAGCTGCCATATTTTGCAAGTTCTAAAACACTATCAAACTGACAAGGAACACATTCACATTTGGGAGAAGTGAGGAGAATTCGTGTAGTCCTAAGGTGTCTTTCTCAACGACACAACATCCGGCTGAACTGAGTCTCGAACGCCCGATACTACGAATCCAGTAGGTTAAGACTACCGACATAACAAATAAATGAGTTTCAAACCAATGGCTTTACAGATGATACGCTCAAATGTGAGTCATTTTTGTCAGTGTTCAGGAACAGAATAACTACCCTTTCAGTTCACTTTGATATTTTTGGGGCCTCAAATAGCGCTGTCTGTCGTGGCTGTTCGCACATTTCATCAAACGTTACAGGGTCATCAGTCTATCATTTGATCTATCAATCCTTTGCACAGTTCGGAATAATCGCCTTATGCTAAGAACTACCTAATCTGATTAGCCTGTCGAGAAATGGTAAAGAGTCATTGACCTCGCCTTTAATGTATATCAGGAAATATTCTTGGACGTAGATGAAAATGTGCATGCTTCTGGGCCGTATTATAACCTCTTTCCACAAATAACAAGAAACGACACAAGACGGAAGTACTGATAAGAGACACACACACACACACACACACACACACACACACACAGAGAGAGAGAGAGAGAGAGAGAGAGAGAGAGAGAGAGAGAGAGAAAGGGGGGAGAGAGAGAGATAGAGAGAGAGAGAGAGAGAGAAAGAGAGAGAGAGAGTAATACGAAACATTAATACAGACTGAAAACGAGACTGTTTAGCTCAAACTACATATCAACATAAGGCGTACCTTGACCGAACTTCAATGCCAAGCCAAAGCCGATATCGATCTTTGCAAGCGGTTTGAGTAAAAATGTTCAATCGTTCTTATCTGTTTAACCGTCTCACTATCTTGAGTAAAAGTATTAAAATAATTTACATTAATTCTAGTTTAGCCCAAGTTAACTATTTATCATTATTCTCTACTTGTTTTTCCTCTACGCTGGAATTCACTTTGAAAATCCCACAGTGCACATCTGGGCTCTCAAAAGAAGCGAGATTAAGATATCCTCAACCAATTGTGCAATCAGGTGTCTGTAAATCCGACCCTTATCTTAAAGTGCAAATCAGGAACATAAATCCTGAGACCAAGACGTATGAATTACTCTCAACTTTCACCATGTAAACCTGTTTGTTTTATGCCCATTTACTTTAGGATTTAGTCTGGATGGCGTTTCGTGTGTATGGATTTCCTGCCTAAATCTATCACGCACTCCAAGGCCCTGATGTTCTTCTGTCTAGTCAAGAGACAAAGTGCTGGAGTCTTATGATAGATGATAAGGGTTATATTCACATAAACCAAATAGATGACCGAATGGGATCAATACACAATTCTGATTAGGCCTATAAATCAGTTTTACTTTTTGGTGAATGGAAAGGAGAATGGAAAGGCGGTCGTGTGTGTTTGTGTGTGTGAGTGTGTGTGTGTGTGTG